TTGAAATATATACGAGATCTTTGTATTTATTTATTTTTTTATTTGTTGAGATGTTGTGAGTTTCCCGCGTGTCGGTGTATGAATCAAGACAAACACAATTGTAGAGGAAAATACTGGTATATTCAGGAAAGCAATTAACAATAGAGTGATTAATAGAACGAAGGTTGGTTAGTACGAAACAATATCCAAAGTCTATAGTCCAACGGTATGTACCGGGTAAGCTTATCTGGACTGCTCACGCTGACTCTCTCCCCAGAGCTGACTTATATAAGAGGGACTAGTCCATTACTAGTTAGAAGGTGGGTGCGCCCCAACATTATTATTTCACCCCCAAGCAAAGCGATAATGCCACTAAGATGCAAAGAGCTATTGGGAGTGAAAGACAATGAAACAGACTGTAGAAGGCGCCGGAGACCCAATCCTAATCAAGAAACAAATGATAACCCTCTACTTTTGAAAAGACAAGGGCTGGGTGTGAACCGCAAATGACCCTACCAATTAATATTGGAGAAAAATAGCGTATTTGCGACGATGCCAAGTTAGTTTTCTTAAAACCCACCCCTTAACACCTTGCTAGGGATGAAATGATTAATTTTTTTCCCCATCGTCAGATTTAGATATTAAGTGCAGTCTGAACTTGGTAGGATGTTTCTAATTTAAGAGATGTCAACGACTCTACTGATGCGGTTATATGCTGCTGGGAGGTCAATATAGCAGGTACACGATTTTCTGTTGGAGAGGTATGCAATTTACTGGAGTTCTTTGCACCCTTTACCAAAAGGTCCATCAGGAGACTGCACCTAATATGATTCGCTTCTATTCCATCGTCTATTTAAATAGCAAAGTACGAAGATTTCTTCGGACTTATATACATTTAATGGAAAAAGAGGAAAATAAGAACAAGCCCGGAAATAAAAACAAACTTAAATAAACCCATTGATTATATCTCATCAACACAGCTTCTACCCAATTGTGCACTTGTTTAACATTTTTTGATGCTTCTGCGCAGACAGGAAGTACAGTTCTTTAATCAGTTTTGCCGCCATGAAAGCGGTTGGAATACAAATATAATATCATGAAGGGGAAAAGGTAAAAATCACAGTGTACTAGATCAGGAGAATTGGGGAATGCATATATATATATATATATATATATATATATATATATATATATATATATATATATAAAACATACATACAACAAACTATTTCTAAATTTAGCAGTTAAAACATAATCCTTGAAAATGGCTAAATGTATAGCCGAACCCACTCGGACTGTTTTTATATAATTTATCATCCGAAAAAAAAAAAAAATTATTAGATCGCATGACGAATTGTATAAAAAAGTAAATCAAAGTACCTTGCCTGTCGTATGCAATGAAATGTGCATGAAAGAAGGATTGCTGCCTAAATACACAAATATATATATATATATATATATATATATATATATATATATATATATATTTATTTATTTATTTATATATATATATATATATATATATATATATATATATATATATATATACACAATCATAAAATCGTCAGATTTAAGAAACCATTATGTAAAAAATCTTATATAATATAATGGTAACTTAATTGCGATTGTGTGGATACTGAATGCTCCACCCAGCAACGACAGTTTGTTTCATGCTTAAAGACAATCGATTGCCTGACGATTGTCTTTAAGCATGAAACTGACTGTCCTCGATGTGTTTTAGTCTCAATGTCCAATTTATATTTATATCTGCTCTATTGCTGGTATTGAGTGCATTAACCCATAAATTTAGCATACCTTAAAGCTTTATCATATATATGATAGAAGTATACTTTTTCCATTGGATTGTGCCCCCCACCCCCACGAGCAACGTGTTCTTTCCCCAAGTCGCCTCCCTCCAGAGCATTAGAAGCTGGTTCAGGCGAGGATATACAAACGATAGAAGTTATTGGGGAGGGGATTTGAATAAACAAATACAAAGTGATTCATCGAGTCTGGAAGAATCCTCAACGGAATGCAGAATGCAATGGACGGCCGTTTCGTCCTATATTTGGGATTCATCAGCAGTGCGCATCCACTACCGGGAATCGAACCCCGAGACGTTACGATAAGACTTGGATGAGTTGCAACACGGAATTTGTTAGAGCAGCGCTATATCGAGTCTAGTTAGTTATTTCTTCGTCACCGAGACCCGTTGGTATATTACTTAAAATAAATCGGCAAAACTTGTCTATATTATTTAATGAAACATTGCTGCCTAAATACACACATATATGTGTGTGTTTGTGCGAAAAATGTGAGTATATAAATATAAATATATATATATTTGTAATATATTATATATATTATTATTTATATATTATATGTGCAGTACTTATTAGAAAGTGCTCAATATATAGATAGTGCTAACATACGTGCGTGCGAGGAAATATTATTCAGCGAAAGAATAGAAAAAGGGTCTGATTGTTGACATAAGCACATTCACGAGACATATTCGCTACACATCCCATCATTGTATTTCAGCAACTAAATGCGTATGTACGTAGAAAACAGCACACATATACATACATATGTCAAGTCCCATACTGTCCACATACGTTTATGTCTGTATGAGCCCCTGCGGACGAGCGCGTGTGTATGTGTGTCTGCGTACCTCATCGGGTGTACGGTCATGCATCTATGTCTGCGTTAGCATGAGTGACATCACGACGACAATTTCCACCCCGACTTCCACAATAACACCAATACACGGAATGTAAATAAATCCAAAATTTAAAAAAAAATTAATCACTTTGTCTGACGATCGCAAAAACGTGGAAAACAGGGTCACAAACTCACATCAATCCAATATATATATATATATATATATATATATATATATATATATATAAGGTAACTACACTCGTCTCGGAAAACCTTCGAAGGAAAAAAAGGTTTTAAAAAAAGAAAGAGCTAGGAACATGAACGTCTGTCGAAAATAATCGTACAACATACAGGTCCAAAGCCCGAAGAAAAAATAAACCCTCGATACGTGTAATCAACTAACTAAAAAAGTACTCAATACAAAAGTAGAGCACACCTAGTCAAACATAGAGAGCCAGACAAACCTACCAAGGTTTCACCTAAGAGGATCGTCAGGGAAAGCCAGCTAGGTTTGATTATATATATATATATATATATATATATATATATATATATATATATTACTTCAAAACTTAATTTATTGGATGATCATGTTTGAAATAGACGTCTTTTTTATTTAGTCAGTGATTATTACTCGTGGAAATTTAATGGAGACAATATTCTCAATTGAAGGATATTCCCGAAAGCTCTCGTCTATTTTTACCGATACTAGTGGTCGTTCATATCCTTTTGCTCTGCACAGGCAGCCTTCCTCTTTGGACTTATTTTGCCATATCGGAATGTGCAATTTACTTAGTAGATTTGTATCGAATTCTCTTACAAATAAATGCAACATAGTCTTGTCCAATTGCATTTGTGCATACACTTACAGACTAAATACATTATCGTTTCCAGGGAATGGTATATCTATACATGAAAAGAAAGAGAACGTTAACCATAGCATTTTGAGTTGTTAAAATTTGTGATCATTTGGACATGAATTAATGAATTAGATTAGGAAATATCACATTTTCTGAAACATCCTGTAAATATTATTTAAATCATACTTATTATAAAACCCAGGTTGTGTGTGTGTGTGCGTGTGTGTGTGTGTGTGTGTGTGTGTGTGTGTGTGTGTATTGGATCGGATTTCCTACATTTTTCAACCGATTTCAACAAAACTTCACAGTACTGCGTAAAATTACTTTGCGGTGGTTCTAACAGCGCCAAAAATTGGAAAAGCACAATTGTTTTTGCACGAAATCAATTTGAAAACACGATTAAGAGGCATCGCGAGAATGAAAGGGGGACAACTCATATCGAGTTATACTTATTATAAAACCCAGGTTTATTGCGCGTGTGTGTGTGTGTGTGTGTGTGTGTGTGTGTGTGTGTGTGTGTGTTTATATATGGGATCGGATTTCCTACATTTTTCAAACGATTTCAACAAAACTTTTTTTTTGGCAGGTAATGTTTCTTATTGTCTTGCACACTTTTTCTTTATTTTTACATTCAGAATACTTTAAAACTTCTATTTACAAGACAATTGTTTATAATAAAATTCTATTCAATCGGTAGACTCCTAACGATTGAAAACAATGTTTGAGTTTGGATTTGACCAATCCGTAAAAAAAAAAAAAAAACTAATTAAGACATGCGTGTCCGTCAACCTTAAACAATAATCTTTGTCAATTTTATTTTTCAGTCTTTATGATGGTCGATACTTGATCTATCTCTTATTGTTACAGCCCCGGGCAACGCCGGGCTCTACTGCTAGTCATTTATAGAAATTAAAATCACTCAATTATTAAGTATCCCCGGGACGAGGCTTTGGGTAAGGGAAAAGTTTCGTCCGGTGGCGGTAGACAGGCTCTGAACCCGTTTATGCGGGTTCTAAGGGAATATTTTTGACCAAGCCTACGGGCTGGGAGAACCCACGATAAACTCACCCTTGTGCCACATACATACCTCGTGGTGGAGGCTGTTTAATATAACAGGCCAATAGGTCTCTTGACAGGTTAGATAGGTCAGTAGTTTGGAACCAAGCAAAGCTTTAGCCACATAGAGAAGCAAAACTTGTGACAGGAAACCTAGAGCGAGTATCAGCTCCCTAGTTGTATAGATAGGCAAGCATCACCGGCCCAATACATTAGACTGATATGTAGTGGTCGATGGTGGGTAATAAGCAACACCGTCAACGCCAACGGCATAGATCGACCAGTTCTAGTTAGCTGAATACGGCGGTTGCTCGTCCGAGAACCCAAATACCGAATCGTATTTTCAAGTTGAAGGTCAGTATGAAAACAATGGAAGAGGAGAATGATTCGTAAATTCAGTTCTTTGTGAGAGAGTGGGAGAGAGAGAATACTGGAAGAACCTGATTAATAGAGTCCGATTTCATTCAGAAAGAAGAAGAAGAAGAGGGGGAGGAGGAAGAAGAAGAAAATGAAGAAGAAGAAAAGGGAGATGAAGAAGTAGAGAAAGAAGAGAAGGAAGAAGAAAAGGAAGAAGAAGAGAAAGAAGACGAAGTGTTGAGGAGTTGGAGAAAGAAGAGGAGGAGGTGGAGGAAGAGAAGGAAGAAGAAAAGGAAGAAGAAGAGAAGGAGGGGGAAGAGGAGGAGGAAGACGACGAAGAAGAAGAAAAGGAAGAAGATGAGAAAGAATTTGAAGTGGAGGAAGAGGAAGAAGAATAGAAAGAAGAAGAAGAGGAGGAGGAGGAAGAGAAGGAAGAAGAAAAGGGAGAAGAAGAAGAAAAGGGAGAAGAAGAAGAAGAAGAAGAAGAAGAAGAACGAAATTACTAAAACATTTAGCAGAGCTGGAGAGGAGTTTTTCTGATAATGAAATTGACAGCACGAACATAAATTGTTGAAAATTCATCTTTGAAAGAAGGACAAGAGCGTTGCGTTGATAAGATTTAAGCAACGTTGCTTTGAGAATGAACGCTTTCATTAAAATAGAGGAAACAAGGTTTTTAAACGAACTGGTTCGAATTAGGAAATGAAAAAAAAAACAACAACAAAAGAACAAAACCAAATAAAAGAAAAAAACCAAACCCTCTAAAACAAACTGAACTTCTGAGAGTAAGATTAATTCACGTTCCAACACGCGTGAATGAGTCGAAAAATGGAACGAGGAACACAAATAAAGTGCACGGGATTCAATAGTTATTTAACAAGCTTACCAATTCTGAGAGAATTACAAGTCATGCCAGGATTCATTATTGGCGGTTTCCATCTTAATAAGATATGCAGATGACATAGTGTTGATAGCAGACAAAGAAAGGAAACGAGAAGAACTCCAACAGAGGATAGTGATGAAAAGCGACAAGAAAGGACAAAACAACTATTGCAAGAAGACAGGTCGTATAGTTGTTAGCAAAATGGACAACCCAACATGACAATTACAAATTGGAGATGGCAAAATTAAGCAAGAATAAAAATCTAAATATCTCGAAAGTGTTTTAAAAGAGGACTGAAATTGTTGCAAAATAGAAATCGGACGGCGCCTTGGGATAGCGAATATGCCTTCCAAAAACTAAGCAAAGTATTATGAAACAGGGAAATTTCGTTAAAGACAAATGAAAGAGTACTGAATTGTTATTTAATATCAGTCTTCGTATATGGCAGTGAATTCTGGACAATCTATTCCCAGTTGAAGAAGAAACTTGAAGAAAAAGAAATGTGGTTCTACAGAAGGATGATGAGAATATCATGGACCGAACACGTGAGAAGCGACGAAGTTTTAGAGAAAATAGAAACAAAAAGAACATTTTATATTTAACATCAAAAATGATACGGATACAGAAGTTGCACTTGATGTACCCTCCATGATGCACTATAAGATGTACGGCTTGCTAGGGCTAATTGATATTTGCTGGTACTTGGATTATCTCCGACAGCTTCGTGATCAAGCGTACGAGCGCATCTCGGTCTTCCTCGAGCCATAGTTTGTAGTGCCACGAATCCTGTCTCAGCAACGCGACGATAAACAGCAGCAAATATTGTATGACTAAGCTGACTTCGGTCTGGAAACGCAATCTGTTGCAGTCGTGCACTCTCGTCTCCAATTGCGCAGCCGTATACAAAAATTATCACGTTCTTTTATAAGAATGCTTTATTAAATCAAATATCCGAGTTAACGGTAAATTGTAAACACAGTATACCTTTTACATTATAGTTCAGTTAGACTTTGAATTTGACAATACATTTTCTTAGATTTTAGTTGAACTGTGTTGCACCATATATGGCTTATGTTTCTGTTAGTAAAATTAATTTGGATTCAATATAATTTTTTATTAAACTCCTGGTAGTGTTAGTAAAATCTTGTACGGATGTATTGGTATTTGATTGGTATTTTGACATATTGCATTGATTTTTCATTGTTATTAACATATTATATAAAGAATCTTTAGTCAGCAGTGGCATATAAATTTACCGAGCAAGTCTATAAGTTTAAATTATTTACTGCTTTCTTAAAGAAGCTATTTATTTATCAAATATTATTTATTCATTTATGTAGCAAACTCACAAAGATTATAACTTGTCTAGTATTTTGTTAGATTACCACTTCGTTTTTTTTTCCTTAGGAAATGACATTGTGTAATGTATAATATGAATCCATTTACATCCGCTCCTGTTTAATCCCTGTTGCTGACATTGATTGCCAATGTACGTGTCATGACCCATTTATGAAAAATAATTTCTTAATTTTTACTTCTTCGCTAGTTTACATTTAACGATTGGTTGATCATAGTAAAGCCCACAAACCTTATAACCACACCCCTTTTTTCGCAATTTTATATTTTTTTTCAAGATTATTGGTACCGCTATAGATTAGATTAGTGCAATGCATAATTGTTACTAATGCATATAGATATATGGAA